TGAGGAGCGGAGTTCAGCATTATCAGTTTCGGAAGAAAGCAACAATATTTTGATCATTCGCCCTTCCACTGAAATTCCCATCAAATATTTTAGCAGTAAAATAATTATCAAATTACATATAAAAAATGGGCTTTTTCGAAGAACTCAAGTCCGGCAACGGCACCGTCTACGCGCAGTGGGGCGCGCTCCTGTCGATCGTGCTGCTGGTGATTGGCGGCCTCACCAACCTGTTCTCGTCGGCGATCCTGTTTGCGCTGATTGCGTGGGTGGAGGCGTTCTTCATGATTTTGTATGTCCTCCATTTTATTATTATTGTATTCGCCTATATATTAACGATATAAAAATAGGCTCGAGATCCCGCTGTTCCAGAAATGCTGTCCGACGGGCCCGAAAGTGCAGTCGGTGGTCAAGTTCTTTGAGGGGAACGGTCTGCGTGCGGTGCTGTACCTGGTGTTTTCGGTGCTCATGTGGCTGTCGCTGTCGGTCGGGTTCGGGTTGCTGATCATTGCCGCCCTGACGGAGCTGTTTGCGTCGTTGTGCTACGGTATGCCTTTTTTTTTTAATAGTTGGTGCGGTGTGCCACGTTGACTTACCACATCCTATGAATTCATACAGCGGTCGCGGCATTCAAGAAGCAAGAACGCCAGCCGAGTACGCTGACTGGCGCCAACCTTGGTATGTCTTTTTTTTTTTTTGTTGACTTAAAGGGCCAACTCAACTTACTGTATATTGCCACCAACAGGCCCTGGATCGCTCTTGTAAAAAAAATACCGTGGAACTTCGATTAATGATAACTATTTTTTTACTTACTTTATGCGCTCCTCTTTTGGCGCCCTCAACCGCAAAAAGTTGCCATGAGGGGGGAAAAGACGTTGAAGTGACTCCCCCTCGACGCAGGGAGGCACTTGGGTGGGTGGACTCTTAAAAAGCACACCGCGTCCCGCCCCTTCATCGCATCCAATACCTCCAATACCTGCAACAAAACTTGAAATGTCTTCACCGCCAACACCGTCGATCCCCGTGGTCCCACCAGCAACCCCCGCACCCCGATCCCAGGCCCTCTCGCTGGTAGTGGCCGTCGCCGAATCCTTACTGGACATATCGACGCACGCGCACGCGTCGCTCGGCACCGCCGTGGTAGCGGGGCTCGTGATTGCCGGCGCGCGTGCGGCTGCAGCCGCGTCCGCCAACTTGCTCGCGCAGTGGACGGTGGTGCGCGTGGAGGTGGACTCGCGCGACGCGCTGTATGCCGACATGCTCGAATGGATGGCCGCCGCGCACTCGTACGGCCGCTCCAGCTTGCACATTTCGGCCGCCGCTCGCCCGCCGCGACTGGCGCAGCAGGACCCGTACGGGTACGACTCGGACCGAGAAGACGACGACGAGGGCGAGGCCATGGTGGACGCGCCCGCCGATTCAGTCGAGGGCGTGCACGTGTTCCCAGCCCCCGGGCGACACTTCTTCTGGTACCACGGCCGGCCAATGATCTTGGAACGCGAGCGCGCCGACGCGCCGCAGTCGTCGCGATACGGCGCGTCGTCGGGTCCCCTGGAAGAGCTCAAGATCTCGACCTTTGGTCTGTCGCGCACGCCCGTGATGCGGTTACTGGCCGACGTGCGCGCGTACGCCAAGCACCGCGACTCCTCGGCCACCCGCATCTACACGTCGGGCCAGTACGGGTCGTGGTGCAAGCTGTGTGCGCGGGCCACGCGCCCCTTGGACTCGGTGATCTTGCCGCCGCTGCTCAAGACGGACCTGGTGCGCGATATCGCGCGGTTCCTCGAGTCCAAGGCATTCTACGCGTCCGTTGGACTGCCGTACCGCCGCGGGTTCTTGTTGTACGGCCCACCGGGGACGGGCAAATCGTCACTGGTCACGGCGCTCGCGGGACACTTCAACTTGCCGATTTACGTGCTCAACTTGGCGAGCCGCGCGCTTAACGATAGCAATTTGCTGGACTTGATGATTGAGGCGCCGGCACGGTGTATCATGCTGCTCGAGGATATTCACACGGTCGCGCAGGTGTCGGCGCGTGCTTCCTCATCTTCGTCGACTGGTTCCAAGAGAGACAAGAACAAGGAGGCGGCCGTCGATGCCACCAACGATGAAGACGACGACGATGATGATGCTGTCGATGTCCCCACTCCCACCAAGTCCAAGTCCAAGTCCAAATCCGACACCACCGCCAGCAACGACAGCGACAGCGACAGCGACGGCAGCGACAGCGATGACGACACTCCAGTTAACGACGCGCCTGGGGTCTCGTTCGCCATGATCCTCAACATCCTGGACGGCGTGCTAGCGTCGGAAGGCCGGGTATTGTTCATGACTTCCAATTCCACTGCCCTTCCCGCGGTGCTGACGCGTCCGGGCCGCATCGACCGTAAACTGTACTTGGGCAACGCCACCGCCGAAACCGCCGTGACCTTGGTGTCGCGGTTCTTCCCGGACGTCAAGGGGGCCGCGCTGGTCCGCGTCGCGTTGGCCCGGTTCATTGTTGCCTCGATTCCTTCTCCACCTCCTAGTACGGCGACAAGTACCACATCAAGCAACAACGCGGTTACGGACGCGGTGCGCGCTCTGGCGGCCGAGGTGGACGTGTCGCCCGAACTGCTGATTGTCGAGTCGACGGTCTCGCCCGCACAGGTGGTCGGGTACTTGATGCAGTACCGCGACGACCCGGCCGGTGCGGCCGCCAACATTGACCAGGTGGCCAGCATGCACGAGTTCCGGTCCATTTCTTGAATACCCCCCAATGAAATAAATAAATAGTCCTTTTATGTATATCATCACCTGCGCCAGTACTGCGCCCACTTGTGCGCGGTCTCCATGAGCTGCGGAAACAATGCCGTGACGCTTTCGCGGACCGCCGCCGCAAACACCCGCAGCGCGGCGTCGTCGTCGTCGCCCACCTCCAAGCAAAACTTGTCCACGACCTTTTGCACCGCTTTGGCCGGGTCCAATGCAATGTCGGGCACATTGGCGTCGGCCATGAGGTGCACGAGGTTGACGATCAGGGGCGCGGACTTGCGTAACGTCGCGTACGCTACGTGCGCGTACGACGTGAACCGGTGGTAGTGTGGGGACGCGGTGCCGCCCATGGCTTCTACCATCTCCTTGCACAGTTTCATGGGGGGCGGGAAAGGTTTGGGATCGCGGCCGAGAATGTACCCGAAATCAACGTGGAAGATGTTTCCTGTATAGGTATGTTGTGTGTGAGGAGGGGTCTTCACCTGATACCGTCGTCATATACAAAAATACAAAAAAAAAAGGTTACCTCGAGGCGTCATGAGCAGGTTATCGAGGTGCCGATCGCCAACGCCCAAGAGATAGGTAATAACGCAGTACCCGGCTAGAAAGCAATTACGAGTGTCAGCCCTTGGTAAGCGTATGGTGCGAAAAGAAAAAGAAAGGGAACATACCGCAACTCCGGATATACGTATCCATGGCATTCGCATGGATCCCGTACGACGAGCTCGGCGAATCGTCCGCATTGTACTTGCGCAAGTAATGCTGCAGCGACCCGCCCGACTCTAGCAAGATGGACGCAAGTGACTGCGATGGAATGAATTGCACGAATCCTGTCCCAACAACAAGAAAAAAAACAGGTCAGCTCAAACACTACCAACACAAAACAAAAGGAACACTTACCTTGGTCGGGCCCCGTAGCAAGCACCCTGTACGGCGTGAGCTGCAAGTTCAAGTTATCCCTTCTAAGCAACCTATCCATGAGCTCCCAGATCTGAATGACCAGCTGGTCCTGCCGCAAATCGTCCCCGACCTTCCATATCGCCGCGTACTCCCCACCGTCGGCCCGCCGAAATACCAG